TTTTCCTTCGAGCAAACTGTAAGTCCTGGTTCTGTGCTGGTACCCGATTTTGACCTCCCACTTCAGATATACTTAAGAAACATTAAAAAATTGGGAACTTGTCATTTCTTTCCTTTAAAACAACCACTATTTATATAATATTGTTAGCCTCATGAAGGGAATCCATTACCATCAGCAATTCATGTCTCTGTTTCAGCGTCAGATGCAAAGAGGACAGGGAAACAAGATCTTCCTCCTCCATTTACTTTTTGTTCATTCCAACTTCTGCAGAGTCCCCAGCTCCACTCCCCTGGCCTGCTTCATCATCTGACACTCCTGGCTTTTACCTTCTCAAGTCTTAGTGTTCATCCTGGTGTTAGGTTTCTAATTGTTGTTATCTAAATACTACTGAATGAATGTGCTCATCCCCTGCCCCGCCCCCCCAGAAACATAACAATTTAAAGAAATGAATCTTAAACTATTTAATTCATAGATCCAAACTTGCACAGTTTTGGAAGTTACGCCCAACCACATTCTGTTGAAAATGTTTCTTTGATTTTTCAACAGTCATCAAGAAATTTTTACATAAAAATATTTCTCCAGTTGGAAGACATGGGTACACAGGGCTTTGCTAAGGACAACAAATGCTTTTTCCTCAATTACCATCCTTGTAACTATAAATCATTATTTTAAAACACAAAAACCCATTCTTGCTGTGTTATCAGTCACCTGAAAAGCTAGGTGGAGAAACTACAAGAATAATCTTCCTTCACCCTATCACAGGCATGAAAGGAAGTTCACAAATTTAAGCAGTTTTCATGGAAGAGAGGAAAATACCTGAAGATGTAGAAGCTGTTTATTTTAGAGAAAGGGGAGGAGGGGGAAAGGAAGGAGAGAAGAATGGAGGTAGAGAGAGAACGAAACTCCTCAATTAACTTACACTTTAAAAACTGTCAGAAAACTAGACTTGGAAGCATAAAAGGGTCTCTTACCACAATTTAACTGAATACTTTACTGATTAAAATTCAATGCCTTAAACATATGTTAACCAAATGATCTTTTAACTTTATACCAAAATATTACTGCTTTTCTAGATGACCCAAGTTCCTTAATTCTTTAGGCTTTAAAAATGAAAGACCTAATGCTTTTGATTTCATATATCCTAAGCCACTTTGGTTTAATTTAAAATTATCTCCACGTCTTGATCTTCTAGGGCTGGTTTGCAATAGAATCTGTGCAATGAATAATAACCTTCTTTTCTCTAAACTGTCTAGAGAGCCAAGGATGGCGTGTCTATCCTGATCTCCCTGTGTTCCATTAGATTGACATATTTTGCCTCATCTGTCACCTTCTATAAAACTCTGCTTTCAGATTTGAGTTAATTCATTTTTAGTTGTCCTCAGTGTTCTAAAATAGTGATGTTTGACAGAATTAATACAGTGCTCTAGTTCTCTCTGTTCAACTGGTATTTAATTAAAGATCTTGGAGGCCATCTCTCAGGCTACACGTTTAAAGGAGGCACATTACTTCCTCCTTGGACAATGTGATAAGCCACATGGCAGTGAGGCTGTCTCCCTAAGACCTCCTGTTTAACAGACTGCTTCACTACATACAGCTACCAGCAGAACAGGTTATCACTTCATTGCACGCTGACTGCATTTTCATACCTTCAAACAAAAACTCAACTGTACCTATATTCTAACTTTTTCAGTATTCAGTTCTTCTCTGTCGTTCTCTCTGTATATATATAAAATGATTTTTGTTTCCTCTTATCTCAAAAAGCACTGAGGGCATTGAATTTGTAAGAATTCTTGAATCTCGACAACAGAAAATCTTTAAGCAGTCGAAGCACAAGCTGAAAATGCTCTTTTAAATTAATATAATATCTTTTGGAGAATAGCCCACTTGAGTTGATATGTCATAATTTTCTATTCTGAAGGTGGCACGGATGATTTAAATTGGCACTTGTTATTTATTCCTTAAATAATTGTTCTCTTGGATGGCCTTTGGAAAGCCTGAACTTGTTAATCATTTTCTGACTATACAGCAACCATAAGAGACATGTCAATTTAAGCAAACTTCAAGAGCAATAAACTAACAAACAGACTCTAGGTGGTAGTATAGGTTATTTTTTATCACAATGTTTTGCTCTTAACCCTGCAGGAGTCAGAGGAGCCCTAGTCTCATCCACACACATTTCTTTATTGCTAACATAATATTTTCAAATGTTTAAATTCCAAAAATCCACACTCTACGAAGTCTGAAAACATAAACAAGTGCCTCTAAGTTCCCACAGACATTAAACTTGATTTCCAACTCTAACTTATCTGTGAAAAAGCAACAACAGAACAGTCCTTTCTAATTTTTAAAATATATTTTCCTCACACTCCTCATGTACTTTGAAGGTTAAGTTTAGAAAGAAATCTCCCCGAGTATGAACCCGCCTGGAGAAAGTAGTCAGATCTACTGTTTGCAGGTAGTCAGCGCCTGCTCCACTAACACTCCTCCTTTGTCTATAGGAACTAAGTCCAGGCAGAGAAAGTTATTATTGGTGATGAAGTCACAGCTCCCTGAATCAATTAAACCCTATGGACATTACCAAACTGCTGGGCAAATCCAGAGCAACTTACTGGGAAGTTTAAAAACATTTCAACATATTCTAAGCAGCAACCCACACCTAGGGGCCTGGCAACATGAAGCAGCATTTGTTTAAAAAGTCTACTTCTTACACTGTCTCTGAAACAAAGGTGGCAAACTGATGATTGAACACTGAATAATGGCATCTGGAAGATGCCACCCACTTACTAAACCAATGACTCACTAATAAGCAGGTTCAATGTAATTCATAACTTTAAAGAATGAATTATCTAGCCCTTTGCTTCAAAAATCCCAGAAACATAAAAACTATGCACCACATACATATATATAACACACATATGCATACATACACACATGCACACACCAACAGTAAAACACTATTTCCCTCATAAGTGTTGCAATCATTTACATTACCAAACTCCAGCTTAGTGCCACAAAATGAGTTAACACTTCTTGAACCTAAGAACTTTGAGACTTTTTTCCAAATAAAATGTCCCGTTGATTTAAAAAAAAAAAAAAAAAAAAAAAAAAGGGCAACGTAAGATTACCTATCACTCTGTTCTACAACCTTCAGAATCCAATTAAATGACTAACATGATAGAGCATAGAAACTCCTGGAATGCCTCAGAGATCAACATGTGTCAGACTCTCAGCCTCTCCGCCTCTTAAACGCTGTGGATTCCTTTGTTCCTTCAGACTAAACAGCAACTCCTGATTAAAATTTGGAAACTACTTTGAAAAGGATGTGGAGGTCTGGGGGCTGTTTCCACAGCAAAGGGCTTCCTCAAACAACAATATTCCATACTAGCAAGGAGGGTAGAGCCAGGAGAGAAAACGGTCTTCCAGGACTTCAGCGGGCTCACCCTAAACCTGAACCCCGGTCCTGGATCCCGGGTGAAAACTACCGAGAGGCCTCCGGTGCGAGGGGCCTCGCCCTCCCTCAGCAGGCGAGAGCCAGTGCCCGGCAGGCCGGGCCTGGGGCTGAGCGCTGTCCCTTCTCCGGGTCACTTTTCCTGGCTGGGATCTGGGAGGACCCGGCAGGGAGGACCCGGAGAAAGGCGGGGAGCAGCGCCGGGCGCCACCCAGGACACCGCTGCGCGGCGGGACTGGAGCGGCGCAGCAGCCAGCGCCCGGGACTCGGGGCCAACGTGGGGCAGCCAAGAGGGCGCGACCCCGGCCGCCAGCCGCGTCGGTCGGTGCGGGCTCCGGGCACCCAGGGTGGCTGTGCCCGCGGGCCGAGCTGGCACGGAGCAGCCAGGGGCTGTAACTCCACAACTTGGCGGCCGCGCGGGTCGGGGCCGCGAGTTCCCGGGGAGACTCGGAGCCGGGCGCCTGGGCGGGATGTCCCCGGCATCCGTGTCCCCGGCGCCCCCGCGGGCCTCCCGGCCTCCGCCGCCTCCGCGGGCCGAGCTCCCAGGCCGTGACCGGCAGTGCGGGGTCCGCTCCGCGAGCTCCGCACGGAGCCCGGGG